TACAGCCTGGCGAAGGTTAAGTTTTAGATATAAATGCTGCCTGTATTTGAGTACATATATGGGCATTGAGCTCTAAACAAAGTGAATGAAAAGCCTTTGATGTGTCCTTCGTAGAGTTTATTCTACACAAAGTGCCTCTCTGCAGCGTGCGTCATCATGTGGTACGGTTCAATCCGTTCATCCATGATAGAAAACCTCTCTCCTATACAGGAAATATACTCTTTATTTGAGTTTTATAGCAGCGAAGGTTGCATGTTCAACCCCCACATGCCTCACACTGGTATTCAACCAGTGCCGTCTCTTTTCCGTCTGGTTTTCCTTTTTTTTCAGGTTGAACCCGTCAACCTTTCAAGCACAGGCAGCTCATTCCAGCCTCCAGTGGGCCTGATGTTCCGAGGCTCGGCCGCTGACAGCTCTTGCATGTCTCGGTGTAAAAACAGTAGCTGTTGCGGACCACGGGGGATTAAGAGGACAGTGATACCTGCCTCTATGACATAAGCGTGAACTGTCATCAACGACTGACGATGTAACTGTAGAGTTAGCGGGTTCTTTCCTCCTTCCTTCCATGTCCCCTCCTGAGCGTGAAACCTTGAAAGCTTAAAAACACTTTCCTCTCAGCTTCACATGTGCTACTTTGGAGATACGTGGTTTAACGGCTATGGGGACGAAGGCTCATTTTTAACTCGCTAATGCCTCCTCTTCTGCAGTTTGCTGCATGGGTTCGTGCGAGGACGAGCGAGGCAGCTGGGTGCCAGATGAGAACGGTAATTAGGCCGGTATCCACCGGGCTTTGGTTACAGGTGCAGATCTGCCTGCGGGGATGAACAAAGCTGTCAATGGAAAAGATCATTCATGCTGAAACAACAGGAAAGGAGGGAGGGGGAGGTTGGCTGGCTCCTGCTGCAGAGACCGAGAGCCAAGACAAGATAAATTGCTCTGAGTGGCATCGCGACAAGCCCAAAGCAGGCGTATAAATCATTTTCCTGGGCGCTTTAAGAGCAAAAAGAGAGGCTCTGCATAGATAGACCGACACCAGCAGCGCTGCCGGGCCACTGAACTACCTGCTGATACTATTGTTTTGAATTAGACAAAGGGGGCTTCCAGTGTGACGCTCCCTCTTAGTGCAGCACAGTTATGGAGAACTGCTCTCTGCTGTTTTAAAGTGATGCTGAAGAATCTCAGAAAGGATTTAAACTGATTTGGATCAGAAGGAGGCTGCTGGTTCAATATTGGACCGCTGCCTGGTTGAATGCACACTGTAGGAAATGTTCTGTCTCTTTCAAGTGACTTTGATTCTATTTTTGCTCTCGTACTCGGCTGCATATTTTCTCTCCAGTATCTGTGCTCGCAAAACAGCTCGTTAATCTCAGCGGCTAAGTGCGTTTAGTATCACGACAGAAACTGGAAGAATATATCCATAAAGGGAAGTTTGGTGCCCTACTTCAGGTTATCATAAAGAGAGTGCATGGGAAGCAGACGATGGCCAAAAGCATGTACAGACCTCTGTCCAATAGGCTTCCAGCTTTGTGTCAACAGTTTGCTGAAGGCCTTTTCCTGTTTCAACGTGTCTGTGCTCCTGTGAACAAAGCCAGGTCCATAAAGAAAGGATTTCACCTCTTAGGGAAGGTGTTGACTGGCCTGCACAGAGCCACCTCATCACCCAAAATCACTGTTGGACCTTCATGGTCTTGATACTAAATGGGAGCAAATAATCCCTGCAGGTTCTGGTGAAACCAGAGGAGTGGACGAATACGATTTTTTGTGTGTTTTTTTACATACCGCAGCACCAAAGCCAACACTAACTAATGACGTTTATCTTTTAGTGGACATATCACCTTTTGAAAATGACCTTTCCGAATGCTGCAGCAGCAGAGGACGCGACAGCCTGATTTGAGGTTTGTATGGGAAACTCCATCCTTCCATGCATCATTCATGCTTGCATCTCAAAGCGTCCACTTGTCCATGGCGTTGTCCGGCCGCTCTCTTTGTCACACACCCACGCGTTACGAACACACACACCATCTCTACCCTCAACTGTAAACGTTTAGACGCCGCAGTTTTAGATGTATTTACATCCTTTGTTGCTCTGCAATGCACTTTGCAAGCAACCTGCTTTTTGTTAAAAGCACTTTGTCGATAAATTTGACTTCCCTCGACACTCAATACTGAGTCCATTAAGCCGCAGAGCCATGGGGCTACTCTGAACGCAAGGGCCACTGGTTCCAGTAAGGTATATCTGCTGAGCTCTCATTAGCAAGCATCATCATACGTAATTCTGGCACGTGTAATGCCATTAGAGGGGATTTGGCATCTGATAGTTGAGTAATGGGATTAGCTGGACGGTAAATCTCCAGGGCCAGAACTGTAGGTCTTCCCCACTCAAAGGAAGACAGACAGACGCACCACACAACCCCACTTTTTTCCACATGAGCGTGATGCAAGTCATCTCTTTGTCATGGCTTACTAATGTCTGTTTACATTTTACACAGCTCGCTTTGTTAAGGACTTCTTGAAGAGAAATGATAGAAAAGAAGTGTTTCATACGATGTGTTGTCAAAAGGGTTTATACCTGATCTGAATCAAAGCTGGTTGTCTCTTCTGAGAGGCGTTCGCAGCGCGTTCGCACTAAAAGTGACAGAAATAGTTGTGCCAAGAATGAAAAAAAAAAGGAGCTCGAGCGAGAACTTCAAAGCGCGGCTCCTTTCTCACCTCCGCACAGCTGGCCAATCACGGCGTGGAGAGGGTGTGAATGTCAGATCACGCAGTTTTGGATTATCTTTGGTTTATCTTGAAAGAGCAATGCTGTTGGAATCGTTATTCTTTTAGCTCTCTTTCCCTACACACAGCCAAAAACAGACTGACATGAACATGCATGTGCATGAGACAGTTGCAGTGCATATAGGTTCAAGGTTCATCTGTTGTCATTCTGCAACACAGGGCTGCACAACAAAATGCAGTTTTAGGCTGCTCCATTTATGCAACACGAGAGAAAAACATGACATGTTACTTATGTTTGGGGGTCAACTAGAGTAAGCTTGACTCTTTCTTGAACTCGGTGTTTCATTCCATTTTATAAGTGGAAAGCTTCTCACGACCAGCCATACAAAGACGTGTTGAATAAGATTTCAACATACAGTTGAGAAAAATCTCCTTCTATAATTCACCAGCATCTCTGCAGCTGGTGCGGTTTCAGTCACCTTGAAGCGAGCTCACAAAGAGACGAAGGGCTGAATGACGACACGCGAACCCATCATGGAGGCTCTCAGCGAGACCAGAGGAGGAGAGAAGCGTGTGGACTTAGCTAACGGCGTGCCGTGCTATAAGATGGTCCTGGAATTAAGCTCATGTTTTATTTAGGTTGGATGATTACTACAGTGTCATCCTTACGCGCTGACACAGAGCATACATGCTGCAGATTCCAGAGACGGATTAACAGACAGAAGACTGTTCTTCTTTATTTAAGTTTGGAAAAATCTACATGCAAAAGTTCCTGTAGGGTTCAACCTAAACTCATGTAGTAGAATGAGTTAATAGTTTGTGACGCAGGACAAATAAATATAACAATGAAGCATAATCTAAACATACAGTGTCCTGATGTATTAGCAGATGTTTTTGGATGCATGTTCTATTATTTTTCAGTGAAATGACAAACATCCCCCACGTTTCCTGGACAGAGACGAGCACTACATGCATTTTTCCAGAGAGAGAGAGAGTTCATTTGTGATGAAAGTTCAGAAACGCTGCCAGGGGAATAACGTCCACAGGAACTGAACTCCTCGCCCGGCCGGTGTTAGTGCCTCAAACTCGGACCATTAAGCCATGTACAGGTCCGTGTGTTGTGCTGCAGATAAAAGCCAACACGCCAATATAGAACAGGTGACTCAGCTTCCAGCTTGGCAGAGAAATCCCCGGAGACCTTTGACCTCCTAATCGTTCAGCAGCGCTTATGGTTGGAGATCTGCTCCAGGCTATTAGAGAGATTAGTGTCACGCAGATTTGGGAGTAGGCCAAGCCTATATCTGTACTTCATGGTATTCTCAGCATTTATTACTGAGCACCCAACCCATGTTGAAACCTGATATTTGTCCGTATAGTAGCACATACTGCAGCATGAGGCTATATGTAGGTGCAATATGTGTTGACCTACATAGAGTGGCAGGCTGCATATTAGGAACATGCTGTTGATTAAAGGTATATATTTTATGGTCTAAAAAAACTCATGAAACATCATAATAAGTGGATATGGGTGGTGTTTAGGATCTATAGCTTTATTTAAGTTTGCTCTATATTTTGGACAGAAAAAGATGCTTAATAATACATGATATATGTACACACACACACGCCGGTTGTAGCCTGCAATAGAATTGTATTTGCAAATACTTGTGATAACAGTAGCCCACATGGTTTACATTGTTTTTGTGTTTTGCTTATTTTGAAAAGATGACTGCCTCTCGACCGCCCCTCTTTTCTTGCAACAGCACACGCCGGAGTACAAAACGAGCAGCCCTCCCAAATATCAACAATCCCCAGCTCGTCAAGCTGTTTCATCAAGTTGTATAAAGTGTGTCAGGCTGATGCCGGAAATTAATGATTATGGTTTCAAAATAAAGGTAAAGAAAAAGGAAACATTAAATATGCTCGACACAAACTATATATTTGAATTGGGGTGGTTAAACCTAGCCTAATAAATTCAAAATCCATAGTTGAATGTAAACAATTCGATTCCTATCACTTGTTATAGCCAATTTCATACTATCAGGAGCCCCCAAAATGTGCTTTCAAGGTCCTATTGTAAACTATAATATACAGTATATATATATATATATATATATATATATAAGCCTTGCCTTGTATTGGACATTCACTTATTTGTCTTATTGTTGTTCTTATATAAATAAATCAGTCTATGACCCGTCGTACATTCCCGTCGACATTTTATTTTGAAGTTTATCCCCGGAAGCTTCGTATGTGACTCTGGCTAACTTGACGTGGGGGGCAGTGACGCCATCTTGAAATTGTCCCGACCAGAGGAGGCGAGGAGGAGACGGACTTGTGGAGGAAAAGCAGCTCGTCCTAAAACTCGATGGCCGCATTAGCTCCACGGATTAACGGCAGCCTTACGGGTTATTGCTAACATATGATAGCGTTTCCACTTGTTCCTTCCAAGTGATTTCTACGGTGGGGGAGAAGGTTGTTTGGCCCACTTTGGAGAGGGCGAACGCGTAACCGTTGGAGCGGACGGAGCTCCCGGTTGTGGCCGCCGGACCGAGGCTTCCACACGGATTATAACAACAAAAACACGCTTTGAACAACCTTTTTTTTTTGCATGACATCTGAAATGCAACATTTTTTTTAAAAACCCATTTCGACGCTTTTTTTAAAAAGCGATGCGACGGAGAAGTTTTTTTGGAGAGCGGAGTGCGCTTGATTTCCAGTCCGATGGATGTTAGCCCTGCGCGGCTGTGGCTCGGCTCTCCGCTTCGCTGCTCTGACAATAACAGGTGAACTGTAACAATGCTGCAGACATGGCAAGTACATGACGGCCGCGGCTCCATGACCAACAAGTCGCCCTCCACTGCTCGCCTGTAAACCTGGAAATACCTCCAACCATCCTCTCCCTCTTCTTCACCTCCTCCTCTTCCTCCCTTCTGTGTTTTCTTTTGGGTGGGGGGGACTAAAGGCTCGCATCACCTGGATATATTTTGGATTTTTTAAAGATGTCCTTTTTGCAGAGACAATGCTCTCTGGAGCAGCAAGACATTTAATCTGACTCTTGAATGTGAGATTGTTGTTGTTTTTATTCTCTTTTTAGTCAGAGGATCACATTCGGATGGAAAATGGGAGACGCCACCAAACTGGCCTTCGCCGTTTTCCTCATCTCGTGCTCTTCAGGTGTGTGTGTGTGTGTGTGTGTGTGTGTGTGGTGGGGGGGTTATGCATGGTGATGCTGATTGTTTCCTCAGCACAGAGCAACGCATTGCTTCTTGTTATCCGTGCAGAATGCAACCTTATCCCACTGCCTCAGTGTCAATGCCCTTCCTTTGCATCCACGTTGCAGATGCAATGGGCATGTTGCAGATCCCAGTGGGGGGTCCAACAGGGGGACCACAAGGGGTCCTCGAGGGGCGTCTTGTGGGACATACCAGTACAAACCGGGGATCATCACAACATAGACAATATGGTGTTTTAACGGTACATTCAGGTATTACGATGTTTATTAGAACTTGTCAAACCTCTTCGCAGCAGAGCAATTTCCAGGCGTCATGCTGCAGAACATTCTTCATGTGTCCTCATCTCCCAGGAGTGGCTGCATAATGAATGTCAGCGGGGTCAGTGAGGTGATAATAAGCTGCAAAGGGACGACACACGAGTACTTCTTCTCGTGCATGTAGGCACTTTCTAGTGCAATCTGAGCATCACTGTGGAAAACACGTCATGAGTTTGATGCTTGTTGTGTTAAAAGTTTTGGGTTTAACTGTACAAATTCCTGGGTTTGATGTTGCTGGAGCGCCCCCCGCCCCCCCTCCCCAGATGAGCCGGTGTATCCTCACATAACACCAGAGCGGTGACGTGGAGGACCGGGCAGGGTTCCTCTTCTGGGTCAGCAAAGTCTAAATGCAAGCGGGAAACTGAGAAGTGTCACAATACCTGAATCACAATCACATGACTGAAAGGTGACGAGTAGTGAACCTGTGCGTTAAACTCCCACTATTGGGCAGAAGCTAAAAAAAAACACAGATTGTACGAGTTAAAATATTCACATGTAAAAGAAACCTCGAGGTATACATCTCTAGATATGTGTACCAGAATTTAGATTTTTATTGCCTATTATTTGCTCGTTTGTGCAACTGAATTCCTTAGAAGTAAATTGCACTGGTCGACCTCGCCTTTAACACATCCGGTGTACCAAATGAAAGCAGCTCCAGTTAAGACTTAAGAAGCAGCAAAGGCAAAGCAAGTCGCAGTGGAATTGTCCTTTTTACAGCGAGCCCTCGGGTGTCTTTGAGCGGGAATTAAAAGGCTGCTGAAGTACGGTGATGGTTGGGTTTGGTTAGCGTGTGAACCAGGTGCTGTGTCTTTATTGCACCGTGCAGCAGATGATTACTCCGCTCGCTCATTACCGTGTGAAGTGGCTGAATGAATGGGAATCATAATCTTCTATGAAATCCACGTTGAGTTGGCACAGTTCAAGGCGCCACCAGTAAACCTCAGATAACGGTCCTTCTGTTTGATGAGAATCTTATTCAAAGACCTAAAGACACATCTTCAGTTTACAACGATATGAAACTTAAACACACAGTTGTGATCAATTAACTGTTGTTTGAAGGCCAAATGCTGCGTTCAGCCTCTTAAATGTGAAGGTTTCTTGTCTTAGATCGTCTTCTATCTCAGTAAATTAAATAAGATTGTTTACAGGATTCCCTCTTGCATGGTTTCTGGATATTTATGCTATTATTTTAGTGTCTGCGTGCACAGAAACAGGCCGCGATGTGGAGAGTGTGACCCGGTTTAAGGTTGCATCCAGCAGCTGCCCGGTGTTGTGATCCGTGCTGGCATGTGTAAATGCTGCTGTAACACATGGCGGCTCAAGGTTGTCAGTGTGACAGGATAGTAAATGGGCTTCTTGTGTAAGTTGTGTTCCTCCGGGCTGCGTTTAAAAACTGGAAAGAGACATTTTGATGTTGAACCCGTGTCATGAGCTGGAAAGAGAAACCTGGATCTCGTGTGAATAGCTGAATATTTACTGTGCACCATGTCTTCACGGTGATTGGGTTAGTCCGTTTACATTTCTGCATGCGTCCACCACTGAGGCTGATGTCTTCACATTCGGCCTCCTCTTTGTGTCCACTGCAGCAGTTTCACGCAGACATTGATCCTCCTGCACACCAGTGTACGGTTACATCGATACGAACAACACATCTGATGATTTAGTTTCCCCTGACTCTGTTCGGTCCCGTTGGACTTGAGAAAAACAACATAAAGAGACCATTTCCTCCTGCATGCAATGAATTATAAGATGATCTACTTTGTGTAAAACCAGTAGGAAATGTGGGCTGAATTACATGTAAACTGGTTATTTAATGCACACAAGGTTTGAAATGTGTCGGTACGTTGAACCCTGTTGGACTGCGACTACCCGCCCTCCTGCTGCAGTGTTTTGGGTGTTTCCTGGAGCGGTCAGACGCTGCCTACCCCCCCCTCATATCTATTTCTAATATGTTCTCTTGCATTATGTATTAGGCTCCAAAAGCACAGGTGTATTTGTTAAGGCCAGATGTAGCCTGGATTTCCCATCGGGACCAACTAGCCCGACTGCGTCCTTCCAGGGCCGTGTATCATCCCGTGCTCCGCCGTCGTAAAAAACAAAGGCTGCACGAGTTCATGGAGGTAACACGGAGATCTGCACAGGAGAGTTATGACCCTCCTAGATGTAGACCGTGGCCAGGTGTTTAGTGCTACAACATGGATGTTGTCCATGTTTATTTACACGCACAAGGTGGTTTAAGTCAATAATAGTCTCCGAAAAAAGGACTTTGGAGTGTGCTGTGAGCCAACGCTTTCTCTGCAAACAGAGGTTGAGCTGAACTTGTACATTTTGATCAACCGCAGTCACGTTAATCTCCGTTATTTTGCACGAGGCCGGCGTTAATGAAACCAAATTAAACAGTGCAAGCGACCTTTGGAAAGTTCAGTTCCGGTCACTGTTTCTCTGTTTGCTTACGTGTTGGCGACGCTTCTGGACCTCTAATCACGTGACTTTTAAACCGTTAAAATGCTACAGTGAGGTCTTAACAGGTTGCACAGGCCTACGGCCTCTTAAAACACACTTACCACACAGATGACTGAACTTTCACTCCAATTAAGAATCATCAAAACACCGTGATTGCTGTTGAGGGGGATTTCCTTCAGCTGCAGCGATTTGTTTTAACGTGCTCCGGGTGTCACGGTTCAATACGGTGGAAGAGGTTCAGTAGTGAGAGGGAAACCAGGACACGTTCTCCTTACTTGTGACTCATTGTGTGGTCGGAGGAGACGGGTGGGGAACCAAAGGGTCACGTGTTTGACATCCGCTCCAGTCACTCGCAGGCCGGCAGTTCAAACCTCACCTGTAAGTCACGGCGGATAAGAGCATCAGCTAAAAGCCTAAAAATGTAAATGCAGGCCGAGCGCGCCTGAATAATGAGAAGTGGATGAATTGCCCCTGTAGCCATTACTGAGTCGAATTAAAACAAACGACGGGGAAGACGGTGAGTCCAAGGTTGGAAGAAAACATCAGGTATTCTTTGAGATATCTGGTGATTAACTTGAGCTCCAGATATTGATATACTTTAATAGCTTTTTGGATAAAAGCATTCATATATAAAGGGCTATTTGATCTTAGTCCAGACCACTCGACGTGTCGGTCCTTTACTGTAATTAATGCGTCCTGCAGATGTTGCCTTTATGTGCTCGGGAGCGTTCCAGTCTAGACAGCCTGGCTGCTCAGATGGCTTTGATCCTTGATTTAAAAACTGCGAGCTGTACATTCATCATGCTCTTGTTTCAGGCTCTCTCTCAAGGGTCTTCGCCCGCTTTACGCTTCCTCCTCCTCTTCGTCCTCGTCCGTCTCTTGCCAAGATTCCTCACTGTCGTGAAGGTTGCTCTAACCCCTTATCACCAGCACCACTAAAGGGTAATGGTGTCTCTGGAACACCGGTTGCTCCTGATATTGTGGCGTTGTTGTCGCTGTCGCTTTGTGCTACTATCTGATGAACCTCAAATGTCATTTAGGATGCATGGAGCAGCAGCCGTACGAACTGAACCACCAGCAGGTCTTTGGTCCCACATTTACTGTCCTGTAATCAACACATTTTACAATAATTGAAAGAAGAACCAGCTCGTAAATCGGGGGATGTCTGCTATGATAGAATAGCTTGTGGTGGTTTTTTTATCCGAGGTGAAGAGGGGATTTGTTCGGGCTTGAAACTCCTGGATAGTTGACAAGTTTTGACGGTAAAGAGAGTTTTGAAATCCCGGCAGTGTTTGGTAATCACTGAGTCATCAATGGGATTGACAAACCCAACTATATTAGTGTTATTCTCTGCATTTTAGCACCTGTAACATAATCCCAATTAAAAATACACAAGCGTGGGTGTTTTATTTTGGCGGTGCGGCGCCTCGTGACCAGTGTGTGTCATTAGTTTACACTAAATATAAAGACGAGGCCGGAGTCGGTGAGGTCGTCTGATGAAAGAGGGGTTTATTGACTCCCGGCGTTTTATTGGTTTGTCTCGTATGAATGTGAAGCCGACGAGTGCAAACGGTGATGTAATTGAACGGCAGGCGACGTGTCTTGAGGTCTCGAGACCTTCTCTCCGGTGTCATATCTTTGGTTACCCTGACCCCAATGGTATTTGCAATATGAATGTTTTTTGTGATGGGTGCTTGAAGCACACTGAATAGCTTTACAGCAGAGAGAGGATTATGGGAAATCTCTTGACTGAACTGGACTGTGTTCACAAAGGACCAATCTCCTCTTCTCCTTTCTTCACTTATTGATTGCTTTTTTTAGAAAAAAAAGCTGCAGGCTTTGTGATATTACAATATCACTGTAAACTCAATGCACCGTTCAGCTTTAAGCCCAAGTGGCACTTAACGCACCCTTCAAATAAATCCACACAGTACAAGCACAGAGGGGATTGTGGGTAAGGGGGGGGCTGAAGGAGGATTGTGCAGATCCTTCTACGGTACCCAGCGAGAGATAATGAGGGCTTTTTAAATTGCCTCGTCCTGTAAGGAATGTAAGGAATGCAGTGGGCGGGAGCGGGGGCGTGTGTGCAAACGGCACAGTCGTGGATTCACGGTGAGGGACTCGGGCGCTCTCCTGACCTGTCCGGCAACCGGCCCCGTCG